CTAGCCAGAGCCACGGCATAACCTCTGAGAGGACAGAATAAGGAGATTACAGCAAGCAGAAGACACAGGTGGTTTAGAAAGCTGTTTCCTTCAGTTCTAAACCCTCACCTATGCGGGGGGAAAAATGCATCTCAACTTAAATTCTCTTTTTCCAGAGCATAAACCACTCAAATCACTATTTTGCATTTTTTTTTTTTCTGCAAGAAAGGCAAAGGCAGAGAAGTACCCTAGGACCCAGATCTCAGCCTTGCAGAAACCTGCGTGAGGACCTGGAGAGAGGGGAAGGATGCAGATAACACATGATTGAGGGCAAGGAAACCCATCAGTATCTGACCGCAAAAGCCGGCTGAATCCAGTTATCAGACACTACGTGGATTGTGCTGACATCCGACACTCAGCTCAACTCCATCCTGCGCTCATGAACCTATTCGATGAAAACGTCTTGATTTAGATAACAGCAAATTGCTTTCTGAGTCTTAATTTCCTATTAGTTCATTAATCTCTTTATTCAGAATGCCAACAAGACAGTTGATGATAATTCCGGAGGAAGTGGGCATTAAACTCAGAAAGTGCTGGCTTCCTGGGTGGAGGGGACGTCCAAAGTGAATTCATTGAGTTAGTAACACTGTTACCATAATCATTAATTAAGTACTTCTAATGGGCCAGTTATTAGAGTGACCATCTTATTTAACAATTATCTTACTTGGAGGTTTTTTTTTTTTTTGATAATTTAGCTAAGAAGATATTATCCCCACTTTACAGAAGAAGAAATTGAGATTCAGAAGAAATCATATAGCAAGAATTCAAATATGGGCGTATCTGCCCAATCACCTGAGTTGTTAATCAGATGCTATCTTTTCACTCATCACGTAAACATTTGCTCAGTGAATTTCCTGAGAAGATGATGACGAGGAAGACCCAAATCTACAGAACAAGACCCATGGATGTAAGAACACCAGAGCCTGGAAAATAATTGGCAAAGCCTGTCCTTTCTTACAGAAACACCTCACAAATATTGTCCAGCTGGACAGTAGAGTTTTTAAAATTCCTACTCTTCTGTAGTGGTTGGGGGCCTGTTACAAGGCACATTCTGGGGACCCAGCCCAGAGCTGCTGGAGCTGAGGTTCTGGGGTTGCGGCCCAGGAATCTGTGTTTTAGCAATGTTGGAGCTTGAAGCACACAGTATAAAAGCAAAGCCACAGAAGGGCACGCAGAGAAGTCTTCCCACCCTTCCAGCCGACCAGGACCCTGGTATAATGCCAGTTTGGATTTGGCAAGTCCAGGGCGGAGCCTGAGAGCCTGCCCAGCGGTGCCCGGTGGTGACCAGGCAGCTGGGCTGGGGACCGCCATCTAACCCAATCCCTGGCACCAGGGGCTTTCAGACACTCACAGCCCAGGATTGTTCAGTTTTTAAAAAGTCATTCCCTTCTGGGAAGACTCAAAGCCCTGCCTCTGGGCTGCTGCGGCAGGAGCTGGACCATGCATCCTACTTTTCCTGTATTTTCTCTCAAGCTGGAGCCCTTCTCCGCCTCCTTTCATTCAAACTGCAGCCCCTCCTCAGGCTCCTCCTCTTTTTTGTTTCCTTCTCTGTTTTGTTCTTTCTTCTTAGTTGCAGCATCATCTGATCACAAGATCCACTCGGACTAATTTACTGTTTACCATCTACCCACATCCCACCCTCACCAGCACAGAAATTCCACCAGGCCAGAGATTTTGTCTGTTTTGTTCCCTGGTGCTTTCCTAGTACCCAGAAGAGTCCCTGGTGTGATACTATTACCTTACAGTTCAGCGTCTCTAATCGGAAAATCTGAACTCCAAAATGGCCCCAAATTCAAAACTTGTTGGGTGTCAGCTGGATACTACTATCAGAAAACCCACCCCAACTTCAGGTGACGATGAGGTACAGTCACAACTTGTGGGCACTAAAAACAGTGCATGATGTTACCTGCCTTCAGGTTATGCGCATAAGTGGACATGAAACATAAATAGATTGCACATTAGGACTTGGGTCCCATCTTCAGGATATCTTATCGTGTGTATGAGATATATTTCAAAATCACAATAAATCTGAAACTTGGAAACACTTCCGGTTAGAAGCATTTCAGATGAGAGACACCCAGCTTGTAGTATCGTTGCGTAAGTGCATGGCTCTGCCCACTGTCTCTCCATTGTTGTCGCCACCTCTTAAATGTCACTGCAAGTGCTCTTTCTGCGTACACTTTATTTTCTCTGGAATTCATTTCTCTACGAGTGTCCCCTCCTCGCAGCTCCTTCACCATGGAGTACATGTGTTACTCACTTGAGTCCCTCATCCAAACCATCTATCAGCTCCTAAGTGATCCAAAATGTTGTCAGTCCTCGCAAACACATGTAAATCACCATCTATCCGAGCGTTAATCAATGCAAACATTGCAGGATTTTATTTACAGGAGAGTCGCTTTGAACTTCAACTGCTTGCAATAGCTCGTGCTCGTGCTCGTAATTATATAGTAGAAATAGCGCCAAATTCTGTTGTAGTTGATAGCAGCACAATGTTAAGACCCTGAGGCAGGCTGAAACCTTACAGCAGCTGCAGCAGCTGCCTTTCCTGTTCTGCTAGCTTTTCTAAGGGCTGAGCAAACTGGTGAGGTTGCCAGTGCAATCCAACCATGGCTCGCTTTGGAATCATGCCTCCTCGATGCCAGGGCTATTTCTGCACAAGACAGAGGAAAGGAATATTTTTGGATAAACTATTGTAATCTGGGGTAAGGACAGTCTGTGCTGGGGGCTAATATCTTGCCCATTTTGCAGATGTGAAAACTAAGCCCAAGACAACAGGCCACTTAAGAGCTCAGTCTCACACGGAGAATTCACTGATGGAGCTGGGACCCAAACTCCAGCTCTGGCTGTTGCCAAGCCCTGCTCCTGACAGCCCAGCCCCGTGCAGCACCCCCCGACCACCACCCCCCCCCAGGCCAGCTGCTCTTGTTCATTACTTCTAGAACAGAGAGCACAGGGCCAAGGCTGCCTCTGAGTTCTGCCTCTCGTGCTGCAAATTGAAACCGCCTGGGAAGTGTTCAGCCTTGCTGACTCCCGGCTGCGTCCCTGTCACCTAATTACTTGACTTCAAAGTCTCCACGCAGCAGGTGTGAGGATGTGAAAGCTGCCGTTTCCCCCACAGCACACAGTGTGATGAGGTAGGCCTCCCCAGCTCATGTCCAGGGCCAGTCACACAGCAGGTGAGCCAGACCTGCCTGAGGTCTGGCCTCGGGTCTTTTGGAGTCATGAAAACCAGGGGCTGCTGGAGAATCGGGGTCCACAGTGGACCCCGTGGGATGGCAGCTTCGCAGTGCTAAGGCTTGGTAATCAGCGCCCACCTTCCCTACTAAGGTGGAGCTCAAGGCTGCTTAGGGGCTGGAACTAATTAATCCTACCCACTCCGGGAGGGACAGAGCTCAGCCTTCCCTGCATTACTCAGGTGAGACTGTGGGGCTGGGTGGGGACAGTGGAGAGGGGGAGAGGTCTCTCCTGCTGTTACCCGACATCCATCACAGGGCAGAGATGTGGGGAGGGCTGAGGGGGGCCAAATGAGACCTCGCTGCCAGGGCTGAGCAGGAAGAGCAGGGCTAGAGGGGAAAGGTGGGTCCGACAACTTTTCCATTAATGCACGTTAGTTATGCAGATTGATGGGTTTCACATGTGCACGGAACACCCTTGAATCGTTTCACCCCGTTACCCTCCGTGCCCTTGTCCTCTTGCCTTCATCTGTCTCTGCTTTGTTTTAAAATCCCACATATGAGAGAAAACGTGATATTCAAATGTTCAAAACTGAACGGCTTCTACAGAGCAGACATGCACGTTCTGTTTCCCCGTGGTCACTTTTACCCACTGTTGAATGTTGTTGGCTCCTTTATAGGAACTGGACTCGAGAGGGTATTTAATACCTGTTTGCAGAAGGGGAAAGAGAGGCTGGACAGAAGGGCATCGGAAATGCTTCACAGAGGACTGAACTCTGAGTCCTGACTGTGCTGTGTGTACCCAGTGTGTGGATTTAATGAATGTCCTCTGCCACATGAGGGAGATAAGATTTCTGAGAAACACAGGGCCCAGGCACAGAGCTCAACACTAATATGAAATCAGGAAATGAGTACAACAGGAGAGACAGGGTCTGGCTTCAAGCCCTGACTGCTACTTCCTAGCTGGGACTTTTCTCTGTTGAGACTTAGCTTTACTATCTGTAAAATGGGGCAAATTATAACACTCCTCCAGAGAGACACCACAGGGGCCAGGGATATGGCTTAGCAGTGCAGGGCCTGCTTGGCAAGCACAAGGTCTTGAGTTCTATTCCCAGCACCCTAAAGAAACCCCCACAAACAAACAAACAAACAAACAAACCAAAAATACCCCCAGAGATACCACAAGATGAAAGAACAGAGGATGGGCTGGGGATACTCAGTGGCATAAGCACCTGCCTGGCAAGTGTGTGGTCGTGAATTCGATCCCCGGTACCCATAAAAGAGAAAAAGACAAAAAAGAAAGAAAGAAAGAACAGAGGAGTAAAGTGTGTAAACTTTTAACTCAGGGATCAGAAACCACAGAGCCAAAGAGAGCTTGCTTTTATTAACTGGTCTTTTCTGTATTGTCTTTGCCTGGTTTTGAGCTACAAGGGCAGAGTTGAGTAGCTGCCACAGAAACCTTTGGGCCTGTGGAATGTAAAGTGTTTACTGTCTGGCCGATTAAAGAGAAGGTGGGCTATCGCTGGCCTTCGACGCTATGAAAATGTGAGTCCAGCACTGTGCATTTCCACCTCCTTCCTCAGCTCCGGTTCTTACTCAGAATTGCTCTTCTTGGCTCCTGACACAAACACAGAGGTTCATTTAAGACCTGCTTCTAAAATCCAAAGCAAACAAATCTCCCAGGAGTCAAGGTGTAAATGCCCCTGAGCTAAGGCAGAGCCCTTCCGCATGGTGCTAGCTGACATCAGGTCCTGCGAGGAGTCACCCTGAGATGCAGCCACTTACTTGCAGTTTTTACACTTGAGGCCAAAAAGCATCCCTTTCCCACACACTGTGCACGTTTGAGACATCCAGTACTTGGTGGAAAACCTGCCGAAAAGAGACAGAAAATGTTCACAGTTAAGGTAATAGAAAGTGACTTATCTCTAGGAGGATGTGCCATTTAGAGGGGAATACATTGGTCCTGGGTTCTAGTCCTGCTTCCTCCAACATAGATGACCTAATCAAGTCATATAAACCACAAAGAACCTCAGTCTCTTTGTCTGTAAAGTGGGAATAAAATAAATGAGGTCCTGAAAGTCAAAAGGCTTTGCACATGCCTGGCACATAGTACATGCTCACTGAATTGGTTATGACTATATTACTACCTTGAACATTCCTAACAGCCACTTGATCATTTGACATATATAGCTTGGTGGCCTATGATGTCACAGGCTTGGGTGTGGGACAGAGTGATTGATGAGGCTGGCATTGCCATCGGAGAGCCACAGAGACAGGTGGGGCCTCCCAGCTGAGACATTCCCCACCACTGCTAGGCAGGTCACCCATCACAGGTCACCTGAGGAGGTTCAAAAGGGATTATCCCTTGCCAAAGAGCTGAGACTCCAAACTTTAGCAGCAGAGAAAAGTCCCCCACGGTGAAACCCTTCTCTGACCATCGGCTCCATCTCCTTCCCCCAACCTGATGCAAATATAAGGTCTTTGAGGGTCTCCCACAGATAGCACCACCAGCGTGAGAGGAGGTGCATTAGATTAACTCCGGGGTGCTCTCCCTGTTATTGGTGGGTGATTTTTTTTCCCTCTGAGACATGAGGCAGCAGCGAAAGTATTGAAGGTTGCCAGGTCACAGTTAATTTTAATTTTCAATTTGTGTCACTGTTGGCAGAGTTGTATCTAATCTTCACTGCTTTGAGGTATCAAAAGGGAATCGGAAGTGCTTACATAACTTGGGGATCGAGCATTTGGAAGGAAAATCTGCCCCCCCGCCCTCTGCTGCGCCATCTTGCCCGATCTGGGTCAGTCCCTCTCCAAACAGAATAAGCTGCAGCTCAGAGCCTCCAGAGCTAAGCAAATAGCAATATTCTGAGCAGAGGTGCTGGTTGCCAAGGAAAAGCTCCCTCTCCGGTTTGAGATCTGGGGGTTGCTTAATCCCCTCCGGATCCCCTCAGTGAGGCCAGCAAGTTTAGCAGGGTCCATTCTGCAGCATTTGGCAGCTCTGGGGGTGGCAAAAGGGACACTTTCACCCACCAGCCAGTAGCGCAGGCGTAGAGGGCAGATAGGTGCGCTGGTGGCAGTTTTTCCTCTTTTTCCACCCCCTCCTAGTCCCAGGATCAGCTCTCCTTGTTCCCTGGCTCTGACTGATGTGACTGAGGACAGGGAATGAGATATTAATTTTATTTTTTTCACCGAGGCTGGGATGAGTCTGGCATTGAGCCCGGAAAGGAACAGAGGGCAAGACAGAAGAGTAACAGGTTATCCTGTGACCCAGCTCTTCTAGCAAGGTGGTCAGACTGTTTTCTTCTCTGGGAACCAGCATCTGAAGCTCAGGTACCACCAGCTTCCAGTGTGAGGGTGAGAAAGCCTAGGGATGGGGTTTATGCACAGGGTAGAGCTGAGCTGAGGGCACTGGCCACCCAACAATAGATCTGAGCCAGGAATTTGGTAAATCCAAGGGAAGAACTAAGACAGGGTTGTGACTAATCCAGGTAGGTGACTGAGCCAGGGGCATGGCCAATTCAAGGGTAGAGCTGAGCCAGGGAGGTGGTCATTCTAGGGGATGGAGATAAGCGAGGGTGTGGCCAATCCAGAGGAGGAGCACAAACATGGGTGTGGCCAATCTAGGCTGGGGGTGTGGCTGAATCATAGGTGTGGCCAATCAGAGGAGGAGCTGACACAGGGCCATGACCAACCCAGGGTTACAGCTAAATCAGGAGCCCAGCAACCAGGGGTGTAGGGAGGATACAAAACCCTCAAAAGGCCTTCATTTTTGACAGTCTCCTGGCTGCAGCTCATCAGTGTGTCTATGCAATTTCTTTGCTGCTTCCTTCAACGTTTTCTCATTTGAGTTTTAACAGCTCTGCTGTCAACATCCGTCTTTCAGAAACTGTTGACAAGATGCCACCCACCCGTGAGAGTGCTCATTTCTGCCTTGCCCTGGGCTATGGCCTGTGCCGCCCCTGGAGTTCCTCCCCCACAGCCCTGATCGGTACTGTCATGATGTGTTAAGGGACCCTCTCCTAGCTGGTCAGCTCCCCCAGGATCCAGGCCTGGCATCTCACTCAGTGCTGCAACCCTGGCACAGAAAACCTGCAAATCCCGGGGGAGAGAACCCCTGAGTGAGCAGACCAGCCCTCAGCCAGTTCACAGGAGCCTGGGGCACAGACTACGGTCTGCAGGGCTGGCAAAGGGCATGAAAAGAGGAGGCAAATTAGCTTCTGGGCCCACTGCTCAATCTTCCGCAGCCTTGGTTTCCTTATCTGTCAAACACGCAGGGCTATACTTCCATACTTAAGCACACTGAGTTTGTGAGACTCTGAGGATACAGACGCACAGTGTGGAAGCTGAATGTGAAATGGTGAAGAGCTTCTCATAGAGATGGCCAGAGGAGACAAAGCCCCTTCCCAACAAGGGCAGGTATAATTCTGGGGAAATCTTCCTATCTGCCCAGGGCGGCTGTGCCTTTGGACTGATCCTCTGCTCTGCAGACAAGGAGCACCATTGGGTTTAGCCTGCCATCTTGTTTTCCAGGTGAGAAGCCCCCACATTACATCATAAAGCATTTTCCTTAACAATGATGCCATTTATTATTAAGTGTTAGGCTCTACGCTAAGTACTTTACATTATTTCCTTAATCTGCATAACTACCATCTAGATAAATGGTGCCTTGGAGAGATTAAATAACTTCCTCGAGGTTGCTAAGCTTTCAACCTCGGGCTGGAAAACATGGATCAGGCTGACTCCAAACCCCTGGCTTTTAACTACTTTGTGCTAATTCGATCAGGCAAGTTTTGTAAGATGCAGTTTTGTAAGATGCAGACGTCTTGTCTTGGTCCCCCACATGCCACTTGGTGTTTGGCCTGGCAGAGGAGAGAGGCTCACAGTGACATAGAGCGGGGCTGGGCGTGGGCACCCTGACACACAGGGATCCAGCCTACCTGTGCTTGATGGAGTTGCCGAGGTCTCTGCGAGGGATCTGTGGGGACCAGCGTGGCACTGACAGTGTGTCTGCAGAGAGAAAAGACGGAAGAGGAGCTTGTTACCCAGGGGCTCAGCGGCTGGGTGGGCTGGAAGGACAAGGCAGGCTGCAGGTCCCGAGAAAGACACCAACTGCTTTGCTTGCTAGGCCAAGCCGAATGGAACAGTTGTTTCTGTGATCACCTGAACTCATGCAAGGTCCCCCGGGAAGGGCAAACAGGAGAGGCTTCAAAAAGAACCAGCTATGAAAAGGTTAAGAGTTGGGCATCTCCACCACTTTGTAGAGCACTATATCGTATCATTTTCCATATATTATATATTTTTAGAATGTTCAACCATATGCCACCTAATCATGCTAGAATAAGTAGATGTATGGTGGATGGATGGATGGATGGATGGATGGATACGGGGATTGGATGGATGGATAGGTGGAGGGCATGTGGGTGAATGGAAGAATATGTGGATGTATAGATGGAGAGGTGGGTGGGCTGGGGGATGGACAGACTGAAGGTGAGTGGTGGATGGATGAAAATGGATGGATGGATGGATGGTTGGGTGTATGGATGGACAGATGAGTGGATTAGGTGGGTGGATGGATGGACATGTGCGTGGATGGATAGATGGATAAACAGGAACAGAAGAAAGAATAAGACACGCAGTCTTCAGCCAAGGTGCCTGTCCGCATCTGGCCTTCTCTTTCATGCTTTAGGTGAAAGCTCAGCACTTTACACTGCCACCGCCCTGCTGACTGAGTCTGCGGGCCCCGAGTACCAGCCCATCCCCACTCCACCGCCCAGCTGTCCACATCCGACTCCTCGCAGACCTCGCAGGCCAGGAGAGGCAAAAATTAACCAGTGCTGCCAGCGCCATCCCCATCAGCCAGGGCAAGAGGAAGCAAGTGGCTGACCCGCACGCTGGCTCTCGTGCTCAGGCCAGATGGAGGGAGGCGGCTCGGGCTTCCAGGGCTGCAGACACAAGCCGCATTCTCCGCAGCAGCTGTACAGAGTGGCGCCTAGTGCGGGCGTCGGGCAGGTCAGGACTGATCAGGGAGCAAGTCACCCCAGCCCACTCACCCCTCGTCTGTCCAATGACACTGTCAGCTGCAATCCGAAAGCTGTTTTCCCCAATTCTGCTCTTGTAAAGTGGGATCCCTTCCGGGAAAGCTAATAGTTTTTGAAACCCAAAAGGGCAGAGAAAACTCAAGGGAGAGACAGCGGATGTGCCGCTGAGAGTTACAGCCTGTGGAATTTCCTCTGTTTTAACTAAAATCTGGATGTCATCAGGCTCAAAGCCCATAATGAAAAAGACAAGGAAGGAAAGTGGATAAAATGTTAAAGAGTATTTTCCCCTCATTCCTTCCTCCTTTGGGGCTGAAATCACGTGGGAAGAAAGACATTGGCTGTTAATTCCTGTGGACTGTGCTGTAGAGAAAGAGGTGGCTTCCTCATGAGTAATCTATCTGCAAAGTCAGGATCAACACACGGGCCAGGAGTAGATGGACGGAGTGCTGTGTTGACGAGGACTCTGAGGCTCAGGGGGAAAAAGCACTGAGATTGACTAGTAATGTCTGCCATGAGTGCAGAGCAAGGAAAAGCAGTAGGTCTGTATTTGCTACCTCTGTAAAAGTAAGCACCATGCCTCCATCTTCACTTCACTGCTCCATAGCATGTGTCTGAAGCAGTATAAGTATTTAATACATGTTTGCTGAGTCCAAGACTATTATAATAGAAATGTCAAGTTTATTGATCACTCAATATGTGCTAGGCATTAGGCTGTGCATTTTAAACCTGGAAGCTACATCTCTGTGTGACGAGTGCTATCAGTAATCCAGTTGTGCAATGGGAGACAAAGGAGCTCAGGGGTGCAGTGGGTCCAACAATGAGGCACCTGCAGCATCTCAAGAAGCAACTGCAATTATTTCAGAGTCTTTGAGGAGCCAGTTATTAACCACCAAAGCTTGTACCCCATAGGACACCGTTCAACATCCTGTAAGACTTGGGACAGATATACCCGCACTCCAAAAAGCAAAGAATTAACTGGCCTCAAATGTCAACAGCTTCAGGGTTGAGAATTCTGATGTAAATGTTTCTCTTATTCTATAGCTGACTCCTTCCCAGCCCGCATCACCACCCCTTCCACGTAGGGAAAGACCCTTCAAAAATGTAAAGTCCCACCTGGAACTCTTAAGGCGCAAATGAGCAGAGAATAGATGCTCTTTATTATAAGCTCATTTCACTGTTAGATGCATATCCTCATAATTAAGTTAGGTAGTTTGGTTTCATTTCCCAGTATCTGATTGAAGGGATGATTTTGCCAATTACACCAACCGGCCGGAGCATCGTTGTCTACAGCTATAATAAGCAGCGCATGCTTCCTCTGTGGGTGTACAGACTTGAACTTGGAGACCCTGTCTTTACTTTTTCTGTTTGGATTTCATTAAACTTGCCAGTGCAAAGTTTCTTTTGCTTAAAGCAGAGTAAAGCTGTTGAAAGGAAGAGGGGAAATCAATGAGAATGGAGGTCTTATCATAACAGAGGGAGCAAATAACATTTTCAGCAATTAAACTGATACAGAAACTTCTGTTTAACAATCAAAGCAGCTATTAAGATGTCTCCATAGCTGCACAAAAGCTTCTCTTCTACTCTAATTTTCTGATAAGTCATGCAGACATGGAGGCAGAAATTTGCACATTCCTGCTGCCTGCAGTCTCAGGGGTGGAATAATAGACATTTCTTCTTGAATATTTTCATTTCTAGTGCATGGAAAGAGAGAGAGTTGGAAGGAACTTCTCTCTTCTCAGAGGTCTGGCTATTGATAGCCTCTCAGAAATATCTCTGGCCTGACCTGGTGGTGCAAATTTGAAATCCTAGCTGCTTGGGAGACTACCGCACAAACACTGCAGGTCCAAGGGCTGCCTGAACAGCTTAGTGAGACCCTGTCTCCAAAAATAAGGGCTGGGTATTTAGCTCAGTACTCCCTGGGCTCGGTCCTCAATATGAGGATGGATGGGGACTTCTAAGCAGAAGAAAGAAGAGAAACCAGAAGCCCCCCATTGAACCCACACTGGTAGTCAGGGGCATCATCAGAGAGCCTAGTTGAAGAAACCAATATTAATAAAGCATCTATATTATGTCCAATTTTATAATAAAAACTCAGGGCTCTGACTTGGTGAGTCTGAAATCAGGCTAACAGATGAATTATGCGTGGGGAAAAATATATAAGCGTGTAACAAGGGCATCAGATAAAGCTGGGTGAAGAGCAGAAGAAGAAAAGTGGAAACAAGAAAAAGAACAATATCCAATCTGCCTTTTGTTGAGTACTACATGTGCTAAGCCCTACTAGAAATCCTGCTCCTTATACACAGTTCCACTGAATGTGTATATGACACACCCTGTCATTAAATCTGCACACAACAGTGTATGCCACAGGCCGTGTACCAGCCATTACCATTAACCATATTTCACCAAAAGGAAATCTAGCCAGGTATTAGTGGCTCATACCTATAATCCCAGCACTTGGGAGGCTGAGACAGGAGGATCACAAGTGTCAGGCCAGCAAGGGCTACCTAGTGAGTTCAAGGCCAGCCTGAACTGCACAGTGAGACCCTGCCTCAAACAAAAGCAAAACAAAAACAAATCTAGATGTTACACTCTGTCCAAAGTGCATACAGGTGATAACTGAGATTTTAAACCCAGGTGATATAGCTGAGGCTCAATAAACAAGAGCCAGTTTCATTCCCACTCCACAGATGGGAACACTGTGGTTTAGAAGCAATAAGCAATTGGCTCTAGCTAATCCATGACTAAGATGGGATTTAAAACAGACAGGTATGAGCTGGATGTTTCTAGTCCTACATCTTCCTCCATCCATCCTAGACTGTCAGTGCCTCTTCTGTCTAGTAAGAATGCAGGAAAGGATGATTTCTAACCCTTTTAAACTTGGCCTCCAGAAGCTGAGAAAGGCAATAAGATTCAGAAGGAACACACACCTTGATATTAGCTGTGTGAGACCCACTTTGGAATTCCAACCTCCAAAACTGTAAGATTGTATAGAGTCAATCCACTAAGATTTCATACTGTAGAGAACTCACACAACATGGGGTCTTGTGCTAGGCATAGTTTTAGAAAGCGGGGAACCTAGTGATCAGTGCTATGTAATAAAGTTTCCTGAGCTCAGAGCTAGTGGGAAAATCAAAAGGTAAATGAGTAGACAAATTAGGGTCCTAAAAAAAACTAAAACAGTACAAACTTTGGGGGTTGTTTTAAGGCAACAGAAACCTTGACCACCACATGGGAACAAAGGCAGGTTGCAGGGCTGGGTCTTACTAAGAGGCCCTCTGGTGGCTAATAAGTCTAGCCCATAGCTGGGATGTAAAATGGGGAAGGGGGTCCCCACATCCCCACCACCCCCCTATCCTCAGAATCCCCAGTCCAATGCATCGAGCCTTGACCCTTCCAAGGTCACTCCATCTCCCAGTCCAGACACCTTTTCCAGATGACCATCATGATCCAACTTGCAGACTCCAATAAAAAATCCACACCCTGACCCCTCAGTGTTGCTAAGGAAAGTAGCAGCTGACTGCACAGCTGGCATTTTCAAGACCCCTGCAGGACACGTTTACTTCTTCAGCTTGTAAAGGAGAGTGTGCTTCAGTGTCTGAGCCCAAACTCAACAACTTGTAACGCTGAAATATCTTTCCAGGCTGATTTTAGGAGGATTATTCTTTAAGAAAGTATCATGGGATCGACATCCCGAAACCAACCTGGGAAGGATAAAGTAGTTACCATAGAACGAAAGGAAAAGCAGATGCTGAAAAGTCAATCTTGGGAATTTTTCAACTATGGAAACAATCACGAGGCAGAGAAGCGATGGAAGCAGAACTGGGTGTCATCTGTCATTATATCTTCGGTGTCTCGCTCAGGATCTGCTCAAAGGATAAAAAATGTGCTCAATGGATGAGTGAACACGTGAACCAGCCAACAACCAAGTCCTGGCCAAAACTGTTAGTTCGCTGGTTACGCGGAAATGTA